TAGCTGGTCCTCCTCGCAGGCCAGCCAGACAGACAAGCCACCGGGCCAACCGTAGAGCTCGGGGACTTTGCGTGAAGAGACTGTCAGCTCCGCCCTGGAGCGCCCCTTGCCCCACCCTAGGGCGCGCTGGGGTCTTGCCGCAGCGGAGCGGACCCGGCGCAATGCGGAGAGTCCCCGTGTACCACAGAGCATGCTCGTGCTAGCTGGTCCTCCTCGCAGGCCAGCCAGACAGACAAGCCACCGGGCCAACCGTAGAGCTCGGGGACTTTGCGTGAAGAGACTGTCAGCTCCGCCCTGGAGCGCCCCTTGCCCCACCCTAGGGCGCGCTGGGGTCTTGCCGCAGCGGAGCGGACCCGGCGCAATGCGGAGAGTCCCCGTGTACCACAGAGCATGCTCGTGCTGCCGGTATAGCAGCTCTCTGCGTTACACGGGCCCAGCCCCCAGCCGGAGCGAGCCGCCGGAGCAGGGTCTGGGGCTAAACTGGGCCACGAGTGGCGCGCCCGTCTCACGCCAGCGCCCATCGCGAGGTGCTCCCATCGCCGTAGGGGTACCGCCCTAAGGCGCGAGACTGAGCCGCTCCCCGGAGCTACAAATCACTGCAACGCGTCGGATGCTGGCTGTCCTCTTCTTCCATCATGAGCAATGGAGACAATTTTATAGGGGAAGCTCAGATTCGCGTCTGCAAGGAAGCACTGGCTGGGGAAAATACCTCGAGGTCCCTTTCTGCTGACCCCGGGAGCCAATTAAATTATTAGGGTTTATCCCGTATTTAAAGTGGTAGCTGCTATTCCTGTCGGATGGGGTAGGGAAATCTTTTTTGGGTCAAAGGCTGCCGATCCACAGAAAAATCTGTCAGGGGCCATATACACAAACCCTCGTTGGCATGCGCTCCCGCCGCCACTCCCACTGAGAAGGAGAAAGACACTCCCCTCATTACTTTCACACATTAGAGCCTAGAAGACCCACACCGGTAGATTTTGGGTGTTCCGGCCCCAATGAATGGCAGAGGGCTGGAGCACCAATGCTGCGGGAGGGAAACCCCGCGACTTGGGAGTCAGATTCAGACCCTCCAGCTTTAGGTTCCCCACCCCTGCTATAGGAAAAACATCTGCTGCTACTGCACCAAGTATACAAGCATCTGTTACTTATACCTACTTTTGGGAAAATGGTCAGGTGCCAGCTACACTACTGTAGCTAGGCCTAATAGTCTTGCCTTCCTTCCTTATTTACCCTAGATGCAGCAGAATTGTATTTAGACCATTACAATTAGTCTCACAGCAGATTCACATCAATTCATAATTACAAAATTTTTAAACTGAAGAGGCTTAAAATTACAAGGTTTTTTTATAGATTAAAATATCAACTCCTAGAGCTCAATTTCCAGTCACCAATTGATTTTAACCAACTTTATAATGTTGGAAAATTAATCTTAGTTTTACTAAGAAACTGGAAAAATTTCTGTATAGTTCAGAATTTAAGTTGGTTGAATAAAAGATACTGCAGCGACGTTGTCCTATTAAATGCTACTGCGGGGAAAATTTTACACCTTACCCGCACTCACACGCCACATTCCAAAACTGGGGCTCCATGGTAATTTATTTCCACTACTCCACTTTAGGAAAACAAATACCAAAGAGATCACCCACGTTTTTAAAATTCAGAGGTTTCCAGTAGCAAACACCACAAAACCTTTTGCCATGTGACTCACTCTTAATTTGTCAGGCACCAGAGACCGGTGTAACGCAGAAAGCTGCTGCCTACACCAGTCCCAGGCCAGGTGGTGCCTGGAGTGCACGTTGCGGAGAAGTGAAAGAAACATCGCTCTATACAGACGCGTTTATTTTAGTTGTTGCGCGCTGGGAAGATGCAGGCTCCGCGCGGAAGGCCGGGACCCAGCGCTCGGATGCTGCGTGGGCGCGGAACCTACGGCTGACCCCGACGTGCAGGCAAGAGCGACTTCGGGGCAGGCTGGAGGCGAAAGGCCCTGGAGTGCACGTTGCGGAGAAGTGAAAGAAACATCGCTCTATACAGACGCGTTTATTTTAGTTGTTGCGCGCTGGGAAGATGCAGGCTCCGCGCGGAAGGCCGGGACCCAGCGCTCGGATGCTGCGTGGGCGCGGAACCTACGGCTGACCCCGACGTGCAGGCAAGAGCGACTTCGGGGCAGGCTGGAGGCGAAAGGCCC